CTGTTCGGAATGGAATGCATTACTTCCAAATATCCACATAGCCTATTCCCTGACCTCCTTCAGGTCTTCACTCTTATGTCACTTCTCAGCGAGGAGTTCCTTGACCATACTGTTCATAATTGCAACTCGTCTCCCCAAATGCCCTAAATCTTCTTTTTCTGCTTTATTTTTCCCATTGGCATCAACAGTTAATGACAATTTTTTTTATCTTATATTATCTGTCAATATCTGTCTCCCTCCACCGGAACATAAGCTCCCTGAGGACTGGGAAGTCTGTCTTTTTTATTCACTGCTAGATCCCGGGACTCAGAACAGCGCCTGGCATGTAACAGGCATTCAATAAACCTTTGTTGAATGAATAAGTGAATGATAGTTATTTGGGCTGTTTTCAATGTTTTTCCACCAAACAAATGCTGGAATGATCAACACTGTACAATGATCGTTCTGCTTATGTATGAGGACATCTGTAGGACAAATATGTAGAAGTAAAATTGCTGGGCTGAAGGACATGAACAGCTGTAATTTTTATAAACATTCCCTGAATGTTTTGGTAGTTTAAAATTCTACCGTAATCTACCACTTTATATTGAACAAATCACATGATTAATTGCATGGTAGCCCATGCTGACCTGGGTTTTTAACTACATGGAGAGAAAGTAATCGGGAGAAAAGCTGCCCAAGGAATTCAAGAAGTTCATTCGGCGTCAACGTGAGTTACTGACCTGTCAACGATGCGAGTGGAGCATCATGGCAGCCTGGCCACGTTGTATTCATTATACCCGGCAACTGTCTGCTTGAAGACATGAATTGCAAAGGCCAGGTCTCATAGCCTGAATTATTTCTGATGCTAGAAGGCTCTGTGGAAGGGAAGACCTTCTAGGTCATTTAGCATAATCTGTGGAGTGCCTATGCTTCTCCTACAGGGGTTTGGAGATGCCCTGGCCAAAAACTTTTGGACTCTGCCAGGGGTACTAAACAGCACGACCCCTGGGGATGTCACGAATGGAGCAGGGCACAGCATGGACAGCTAGGACAGCGACCTGGTAATTTACAGCACCATTCTATGGCAAGAACTCATTGAAATGGCTCCTAGGAGCCCTCATATCTCCCCAGTCTCGTGCTGAAACAGTCATGGCTCTGCAACTATAGTTTGCCACCTACAGACTGTCAGGCAATTGTTTCTGAGAGTCAGCCCACTCTTTCTGCAGATGATTTGGAGGGATTTGTAAATAGGCACCTCATCCCAGCTATCACCATTGGCCTCACTTGCCTGACTCCCTGAGGAGGCTTGGATGGAGCCCCATAGAGCTTCCTTCTCAGCCAGCTTGGCTCAACTGTGGGGTATGGGATGGGCAAAGGCAGATTAGCAGTAGTGTGATGGGGTTTTTGTTCCTAAAAAAACCTTTCCTGCCCATCCCCCAAAATATGGGTTTGTTTTTAGCCATTCCCAGGAATATAAGAAGGAATGATTATAGATGAAATTGTAGACTAGGGGACATTTCTATTTAACCCTCCACTCTTGCCAGCTTGCCTTCAGCCACCAATTTTCATGAAGCCAGTTTATGGATGTGGAGTCTGTGGACCTGAGTTCAGGTTTGCCTCTGCTTTTCGCCGCTGTATAGCTTCAGGAAAGTCACTTTATTTTTATGTTTATTTTTAATTAATTAATTTTTTTTTTTGGAGATGGGGTTTCACTACTGTTACCCAGGCTGGTATCTAACTCTTAGACTCAAGGGATCCTCCCACCTCAGCCTCCAAGTAGCTGAAATTACAGGCACACACCACTTCACCTGGCTCCTGGATTTGATTTTTTAAAGTCTCATGAAGACCTTGGCCTCTGCAAATGCCAGTGGATTCACATGGTTTCCTGAACATCCAGGAAACTGTTTTAGAAAGAAACACCCCCTACTGCTTAAAGTGTGCATAAACCGTTTTGCATCCATCTAATTGACAGAAATTGAAGTCTGACAAATGTGGAACAACTGGGATTTTCATGTGCAACTTGTGGGAGTGTTAGCAGATACAACCATTTGGGAGTGCAATTCAGTCAACATCTAATAAGACTGAAGATATGTATACCCTTTGAGACAGCAATTCCACTCCTAAACATATACACCCTGAAAAACATGTATGCACAAAGGCCTGTTAGTGTTAATTGCAGCATTATTACCAATGGTGAAAACTGTAAACAAATGATCATTAACTAGAGAATGAATAAATAAATTTCAGTTTAGTCCTACAGTGAAATACTATCCATCCATGAAAATTTATGCACCAGAGCGACATACCACAATCAGTAAATCTTAGAAAATCATGTTAAGCAAAAATGAAAGCAAGTTGCAGAATACATATAATATAATGCCACTTGTGTAAAGGTTAAAAGTATGCAGAAATGCTAAACATTGTTTACGGATACACACACATGCGTAACAAATTTCAAAGACTGTATGAGCAAGACAAATCCCAAATTCAGGATAGTGGTTGCTGCAATCCGAATGTTGGTGTCCTTTGAAAATTCCCATGATAGAACCTAATATTCAGTGTGATAGTATTAAGAGGTGGGGGTCTTTGGGAAGTAATTAGGTCATGACAGTGGAGCCCTGATGGGACTACTGCCCCTATAAAAGAGGCTCAACTGAGCTCCCTTGAACTTCTGCCATGTGAGGACGCAGTGAGAAAGCACCATCTTTGAAGCAGAGAGTCCGCACCAGACACTGAAGCTTCGTGCCTTGATCTTGGACTTCCCAACCTCCAGAACTGTGAGCAATCAATTTCAATTGTTTATAAATTATCTAGTCTAAGGTACTTTTGTTGTAGCAGCAGGAATGGAGTAAGACAGTCGCTCTCTTTGGGAAGGGAAGGGAATGGGACCAGGGAGGGCTACACTGGCACTTCAGTGGCACCTGTAATACTTTATTTCTTAAGAATTTTTAAGGCCGGGCGCGGTGGCTCAAGCCTGTAATCCCAGCACTTTGGGAGGCCGAGGCGGGTGGATCACGAGGTCAAGAGATCGAGACCATCCTGGTCAACATGGTGAAACCCCATCTCTACTAAAACTACAAAAAATTAGCTGGGCATGGTGGCGCGTGCCTGTAATCCCAGCTACTCAGGAGGCTGAGGCAGGAGAATTGCCTGAACCCAGGAGGCGGAGGTTGCGGTGAGCCGAGATCGTGCCATTGCACTCCAGCCTGGGTAACTGGCACTTCAGTGGCATCTGTAATACTTTATTTCTTAAGAATTTTTATTATATGATTAGATATGTGTTTAAGTGCATGAGATATTTCATCACTAAAGAGATCATTTAAAGTGTGTCCAAATCCAGTGGGGAGAAGTATTTTGCATGTTGAGACCAGTAGCTGCTCCTGTGCATCTGTTCGTCTTGCTCCTAGAGTTACATATAGGGGCTCTTAACACCATTGAGGGGCTCATGTGGAGACCTTTGTGAAGTTCCTCACTTAGGAACAACGCCAAAATATCTAATTTCCTCCTAAAGTTTAGTAAAGTAGAACTGGAAAACTGAAGTGAGTATTTTAGACTGATCATCGTTCTAGAGATACAGTTAGAATTCCTTAAAAGCAGTTGGCTTTCTTTTCATGCCTGTTTTCCCCCAAAGAAACCAGGGTTTTATTTTTTCTTTGTCAGGTATCACGTGTTTACAACAACTCTATGAGGAGCTACATGGCACAGGACTCACATTCATGCCTCAGGAGATTGTTAAGTGCTTCATAACCTTTGAAGTTGGTCATGTGTAAATCTCAGATGTTATAATCAAGAACAATGAGGGACCATTTAGGCACTGTCTCATGTCTCATTTCCCCAGTGGACCCCTAAGAATCTCCCGTCCTTAGAGCGCCTTTGACGGAGTAGTATACGCCATAGCTAGTGCCAACCAACAAACATCAGGAGCCTAAGGGATTTCCAACCCTATCAGATCTGGGTTCTTCTTCCTGTATCATCCTGCATGAACTGTTTGTGTAAAGGGTGTGTGTGTGTGTGTGTGTGTGTGTGTGTACATACATGTGCAAGGTGACACCAATGAACACTGAGGCCTTCAAGCTGACCTGGCTGAGCTCTGACCCCGGCCCATGGGCTATAGTCTCACCAGCTCCTGCTGGTTGCTACTGATCAGTTTGCATTTAGAGGTAGACTCTCAGCCTGACCAGCTGGGGTTTCTAATGTACATGACTTGGGGCAACTTGAAGGGAGTGCTAATCTGCATCTGAAAATCTTTTATTCCTCCATGGACTGAGGCATGCCAGTTGTGCCCAGTCGTCTGAAGGGTCATTGAGAGGCAAGGCCATGAGTGGTAACAGACCATCTTTAGGGAACCTGGGTATACATCTTCAGGATGCCCGTGCCTCTGCTGCACCCTCTGTGAAATGAGAACAGTGATCCTGCTCATATTGCTCCCTGGGCTATTCAGAGAATTAGGAGGAAGTATAAATAACTTTGGTAAGGTTAAAATCACCACTCATGTAGTCTATTATCTTTGATAAAATAGCAACTTCTTTCCTCTGATTTGGGTACGAGGGGAGATTCCCAGGGGGAGCTTTTTTCTCTTAGGCATCTTCTTTGTTCCTACTGCCATGCAATGAAAGCCCCAATGAATGAATGAATGAATGAATGAATGAATGAATATGAATGAATGAAGATCCCTGCTCTCATGCCCCAGCCAAACCTGACTTCCCACTGTTGCTTCAAGCATGCCCAGTGTTTTCCCACACCTTTGCTCAGGCAGTTCCCTTTGATTATAATGTCCTATGGCTACTCACTGCAATCCTACCTTCTCCCTGAGGCTCTTTCAAATGTTACCTCCTTGCTGAAGCTTTTTCTAATTTCACCCAAATTGATGTGACATGCCTCTCCTGGGAACCTTGAGGGCCTGGCACAATACCCAACAACACACAGCAGGTGTTTAGAGTGCATTAAATTGCATGAAGCTGACCAAGCCAGGTAGACCTGTTGCCGTTCCCTGGCCTGTGGGAGCCTCAAACCCTTACCTTGGGAGTGAACATGTGTAGGATGCCATCAACTGCCCCTCGCAGCAACAGCCCCCGGACCAGGAAGCAGGCCAGCACCACGTAGGGGAAGAGGGAGCTGAAATACATCACCTGCAGAGAAGACAGGAACCCACCATCAGGTAGAGCCCTTCCTGCAGCTGGCACTCCCCATCCCTGCTCACCTTTGGGGTGCATGAGCTGCCTCTCTTTCTGCTTTCCAGGGCAGCAGAAAGCAGAGCCCTGGAACCCCTGGGCACAGGGCCAAACCCGCCATACATCAGGCATGGAGCCAAGGCAGTGGCAGGAACAGGACAAGCCGGAGTCTGCATGGCTGGGCCTGGGGTTGGTTTTCTCCTTTCCAGAGCTGGTAGGGCTGAGCTAACAGCCTCCTCACCCAACAGGGCTGCCAAAGGGGTAAGAGAATCCTGTGCTCCCCCCTTCTCATCCTCCCCTGTCTCATTCCCCCAGTGGACCCCCTAAGAATCTCCCGTCCTTAGAGCTCCCTTGACGGAAGACTTCCAGGAGGTTACAGACATGGCTCCCAAGCAGTAGCCATCTGAAGAAGTCCTCAGCGCCTTGTGAGGATGAACCGTGTGCTCTTCTCTAGCACAGCAGTTCTTGCACATTTCTATATTCCTGCACACCTGGCACACAGCCTCTCACAAGAAAAGATGCTCACAAAATGTTTGCTGCACTGAAACAAATGAAGAGGGCTGTGTGGACAGGGTGGTGTAAAGGCCATGAGAATGCATGTCTGCCGTTAAGACTGCCTGAGTTCTGAGCCTGGCTCTACCATGTATTAACAAGTGACCTCAGGCATTTTGTTTAGCCTCCATGTACCTCCGCCTCCTCATCTCTAAAATGGGTGTAATCATCCCTAACTCAAAATGCTGTGGACCAAATGCCTTCATACAGGTGGCAGTACCTGAGAAGTACCAAGAAGCATCAGCTACTATTTCGGCCTCCAGAGAGGAAGAGGTCAGTGGCTTTAAATTCTCTCTTTCCACCCAGAAGACCCTGCATTCTACCTTTTTAGAGCTTAGCTTCCTTGCTCATCAAATCGGGTAAAGAACCTGAAGCCTCAAACAGCCAGGGTCCTAGTTGCAGCTCTGAGACTGACTGGCTGCATGATGTTAGCTAAGGTGCTTTTCCCTCTCTGGGCCTCATTTTCCTCATCTGTAAAATGAGTAGACTGGGATACAGGATCTCTAATGTAAGCCTTTCCATCCCTGGCAGCACGTCAATACTGATAGGTGACAAGTAAAAAAGGGTCCTTATTTATTTATTTATTCTCTTGATATGGGGTCTCGCTCTGTCACCAGGCTGGAGTGCAGTGGCATGATCTTGGTTCACTGCAACCTCTGCCTCCCAGGTTCAAGCAATCCCCCTGCCTCAGCCTCCCAAGTAGCTGGGACTACAGGTGCACGCCACCACACCCAGCTAATTTTTGTATTTTTAGTAGAAGCAGGGTTTCACCATGTTGGCCAGGATGGTCTCGATCTCTTGACCTTGTCATCCACCCTCCTTGGCCTCCCAAAGTGCTGGGATTACAGGTGTGAGCCACCGCGCCTGCTGAAAGGGCCCTTATTTAAAGGGCATCTGAACTGCTAGGAAGAGGTGTGGGAGCTGGCTGTTCTGCCCCTCAGAGACACCTATGGAGCTGCCCCCGTCACTCATTGCATCTACCTGCTCAAAGGGCCCTTTAGCTATAGCCATGGCAAGTTGCTGGTTTTCACCTAAACCTGCCCAAAGCAGGCTCTTCTGGGGCTTTTGCTCTTGGGAAACTGATGGTCTAGAATCTAGACAGATGTCCCTGGGTCAGTACTTCTAGTTTTCCTCCTCACTAATGTTTGCAGAGCAGGCCTGAGTTATCTGAGTATGGAAGCAGTTGGGGTTCAGGGCAATGCCTCTCCAGCTATTCCATTCCAGGTGGGCTGTCTATGATGAACAATACTACAGCAGTGATATTCCCATGCCCTCCTCTGGGGGCCTGTGTCATCATCCAGAGCCATCGGAGCCCAAGCCCACCTGGAAGACCCTGCAGGAGGCAGCCTGGAATTCTCAGCCCTGTGCCCTCTATGCCTTTCTGCTGCTCCCCATTTGGGTCCTAGGTGCCCCCCAGCACTCACCTTCCCCGAGGACTGGATGCCCTTAACAACAGCCATCCCCACGATGCTCCAGGCCACGAGGAGGCACAGGGTCATCTTCCAGTTGAGGCCCCCACTCTCCGAGATGGAGTCAGAGATGTCCAAGGCCTCTCGGTACCAGAAGTAGGTAGTAGCTGAGCTCTTTTCACACTCTGCCTCCACCACTGAAATAGCAGCAAAGTCACAGGCCCTCAGTGGTGGGGCCAATGGGGTCACTTCCTCTGCTGGATCCCCACTCAGGGCAGCAGTGGGCAAGGGAGCAGCTGAGGGTGGGCAGCTGGGAGGGGCCGCGCTCATTCTGGGTTAGCTAGGATCTGGCAGACCCCAAGGAATCCTAGGTTCCCAGTGGGGTCTGGGAGGCTTCAGGACACACTGGCCTGGCTGATTCCCACCCATGCCTCCCCCTGCCCATGTCTCTCCATGGGAGGTAGGAAAGGTGAGGCTGAATTGACCTAAAGTTCCTTGGGAAATGTCCTGAGCTGGGGGCTAGAGACCTGGATTCTCACCCCAGATCATTGGTTAGAGGAGTGGTGTGAACATGGGAAAGTCGCTTCTGGGCCTCATTTGTGAAGTGGAATAACAGGGTGGGTAATAACAACTAAAGTCACAATTTCCAGAGTTTTACCTACACTCATTATTTTATTTAATCTCCCTAAGAAATAGGCTGGAAAAGAGACCATTTCCCTGGGGAAGGGGAAATGAGGATCAGAGATGTTAAGTGACTTATCCAAGGTGACACAACAATTTCAAATTGAAATTTCAAATGTGTGCACTAAGCCGTGAGACCCCTTCCCGGGACAGAGCTGGCTGGCATCCCCGTCTGGGCCCCATACTTGCCTGCCGTGCTCCCATTCCTGACGACAGGACATTCGCTCCAGGGCAGGGGGTACTGGAAGGACTTGAAGAAGTAGAAGATGCTCCACCCAATGATCACGTTATAATACAGCCCCACAAAGAGACAGACCTGGGGACAAGCCCACCACGGGGTCACCGAGGCTGCAGGCAAATCCGCCCTGCCCCTACGCTCTACCCGAGGCCCAGCACATGGGCAGCGCCAAAGAACACAGCAGCACAGCCTCCAGGGAGGCACAGGAGGGGTGGGGTGTGGGCCGTGGAGGAGCTCCCCTCGCCCTCCATTCATCTGTTATTCAGGGAATCCACAAAGGAATTTTTCAGATATTAAAGTTCTCTCGTTTAAGCAACAAATTCTTAAAATTTTAATCCTTTGCAGTTTGAAATTCTTCTAAGATACTTGAAGTACTTTCTCCTCCTCCCTTCCTGATGACTCAAGATTGTAATGACAAAGACGCCCTCCAGGGCTGTGAAGGCATGCAGGGCTTTGGCCCCTGTGGTAAATGGAGCCAGACTGCTGTGCTTTTAGAGACTTTGTGGGTGTTTCTTGTGGATTCGGTTCTCTCTTGGGCATGTTAGCATCCTGCCTCTAGAAAGATGGCACAGTTCATCTCCAGGAAACACAGTAACATTGGCAGAATTTTATTTAAAATAGGAGAGCATGGACTTGGCCTGAAGGTTCAAGCAATGTTTCTATGGGCAGGGATTTGCTGCATCCCCTCTGGACACAGAGGGGCCCCTTCCAGAGGCATGGCTCTCTCCTGCATCAGTGAGATGGGCGGCGTCAGTGTGAGAGCTGAGGGCCACTTGCTTGTCAGTCTCACCTGAGCACGTGTGTGCAGGCGCAGGTGCTCATACAGCAGAACGTACTGGGAGCACAGAGTGAGACGCCCACTTCCTTTACTTGGGTCCTTTCAGTCCAAGCAGGAGACCACACACACACTCCTGTGTCTCAGCACACAGCCAGTCCCAGTAGAATACCCGGCGTTGGCCAGTGCAAAGCTGATGGCTGGCATGAGAGCAGGGAGGATGCGATAAGCCCTCTCCCAGTCTCTCACTGAGGCAGGTTTGGGCTGGCCCTACTGCCAGCTGGTGAAATCCTTAGTCCCTTCCAGCAGTTCATGCCAGTCTTTATCCCACGTGTGAGCAGTGAGCATGGGCCCCTGTAGACTTTTCCCTTAAGGGATGCTCAATTTTCTTACCTAGAGCTCTGAGCAGGGTCTCATCTGTAACTTGTGGATGAGGCTGGAGCCCTCACAGAGTTCTCCATCTGGAGCCAGTGGGGCCTCCCTGTCTCTCGCTCTTCCAAAGCCTCACCCTCCTTGGGTTGACCCTAAGTTTCCTGTGTGAGTCCTCCAACTCTGCTCTTTGGCACAGCAAAATGGCAAGGAGACCCTGAGCCCCAGGCCTGCCTTTTCTTGAGCTCCCTGCTTGCCCCATTAAAATAGTCTTTGACTGGCTGGGTGCAGTGTCTCACACCTGTAATCCCAATACTCTGGGAGGCCGAGGCGGGTGGATCATCTAAGGTCAGGAGTTCAGGACCATCCTGACCAATGTGGTGAAACCCTGTCTCTAAAAATAAATAAATAAATAAATAAATAAAATAGTCTTTGACCGAGGAAAGAGGAGGGACCTCCCTCATGGGGAGCTGAGGGACCGGTAAGAAAAGAAGGGCATCTGGACTAGTCCATATGTCCCCAGAGAACTCTGGCTGAGCTGTCCCAGGCAGCCCCTTGTGAATACATCCCAGCTTTTCCTCCTTAGCACCAACGGCAAATCTTCATGCTGTTTCAGGCAATGTGGTCAACTTTCAGTTTAGGAAACACAGTGACTGAGTCCTGAAACCCCGGCTGGGAGTAATTCCCATGATGAGGATCCCCCTCCCTGCCCCTGTCCTGATGTAGGACTCTGGGCTGGAAACGCAGTGAGCTCCTCGCCAATGCCCAGGAGCAGCCCCCTGCCTCCCGCTCAGCGCCTGCCCTGACTCACTATGCAGCTGGAGAAGCCGATGCCTCCCAGGCGGGGACACACATAGTGCCACACACCAATGCTGCCGCGGCGTATCCTCTGGCCCACAGCCAGCTCCAGGAAGAAGAGCGGGATCCCGATGATGATCAGCAGCACCAGGTAGGGCACCAGGTAGGCACCTGTGGGGAGAGCAGAGGGATGGCATGGGGCTCTGGAGCACAGCAGCAGAGCGAGGGAAGGGGCAGTAGCCATGTCTTCCAGTCTCAGCCGCCTCTCTGGTCATCTGCAAATTGGCACCAGTCCCGGTGCTCCTCCATGAATGATCTGGCCATACGTGTGGCCCGTCACACAACAGCACACCCAGACCCTCTTTCTCCCCCTTGACTCCCCCTAACCCAAAACACTAAGCGAAAAACTGTATGTATGTCAACTCACAAGGCTAGGTTCAGAGACAGACAGACATCTCACTGCCTCTCCAGAATCCACATGTCAAGTCACATGCAGCAGACACACTCACCTCATGAGGTGCTCCGTGGACAACTGTTCACACCCCCTCCACCCACAGAGAAGCAGCCCCAGATGGCATGGGGGCTCGCTCGCCCCCAGAGCCACAGACACTGGGTGCAGCCTTCCTGGAGTCTGAACCAGATGCTGATGCAGCAGATTGGGCAGCTCCAGGGAAGCAGAGCTTGGAAGATCTCCAGGGAGGGGGGATCTGACCAGCTTTGCCATTAATCTACAGCTAATTAAGAGAAATGGCAGAGAAATTAGCAGTTCAGGAAAGCGTGGCCAGGAGGATCATAAAGGATAGAATGGGTCTCGCTAAAGATTCCAGATGATAAATTAATCTCGCTGTCCTGGGCCACACTGCAGAAACAATCTCAATTCCCAGTGACAGGGCATTTAGCAGGAGAATTAAAACCATGTCTGGACACAGACGAGTGCACCCCGCTGAGAGCCGTGCCAACAACCTAGTCCTGTTAGCAAAGCCCTGCCTGTCTGTCAAACACTGTCAGGCCAGCCCCAGTCACCAGGGCCCTGATGGTCACCCAGCACTCTGACTAAGCCTTGTAAGTAGAAAGTCTCCAGGAGACACCCAGCTACACTGCTCTGCCCCCATAACATAGGATCCCACATGTTCACCAACATATGCCCAATCTGCCAATGAACATTGGCAATCAGGCATCTCCTAGGCACAAATTCTGGCACCTGGCAACAATCAGCTATTTACTGCAGGTCCACTCTGTGCCAGGCACAGGCAGCGAGGGGATAGCAGAGTAACAGAAGGCGCAGATGCCATCCTGGGACAGTTCACGATCTGTCAGGGAGGCAGGCAGAGTCATGTGAGCAATGTGAGCACGCATGTGTACACACACACACACCACAGACTAGTCACACAGGCCAACCAAGCACATACTTGCTGAAGAAGGGGCCCGGATCCAATGGAGCTAATCAGAAAGGCAACACACCGGGCCCTGTACGACAGCATCTAACTCACCAGATGCACACGTGCACACCTACATTCAACTCGTCACTAACAAGTAGCCCCATCATGGTGCTCGATGGCGAGAGGGCCCAAAAGGCCACAAGCTTAGACCCCTGCATCTGTCTTTATCTCGGTCTCTTGGTCTTGGGTGTTAGGAAGTGGAAGAGGAGCGAAGTGATCTGCTGCAGGAAGGCAAAGGGTCACAGCTACACGGGTGTTGTATTTCACCCCAGTGTTCTAGGTGTGGCAAGACGTGCAGGGAGGTGGGCTTCAGGGTGTGTGCAAAGGCTTCTATGGATGCCTCCTTTTTTCCCCCAAAGAATCAGGGAAAGCCTCCAGGTAACTGCTGCCAAAGAGTGACAGGGGTTGGGGTGCAAAGACAAGCTACTGGCCCCTCCCCACCGCCCGGGCTCTGTCCGCCCCAGGCAGGCCGCCAGGCCCTGAGTTGACTGCAGGCCTCTCTACCGTGCCAAGCCCTAAACTAACCAGGGTGCTCAGGGGCCGCAGTCACGGCAGGCAGAATTTGTGCTAATCAGAAGTACTTTTTCATATCAACCTTTGCTGCATTGCTTGGAAATACAACAGCACCCTCTTCCATCTTAGAAAATACAACTTGGGGACACAACTGGATTTCCTTTTATGTTTCAACAGCATTCGAGACCCTCAGGTTGTTCGTCTGAATAGCAGGGAACACTCACTATTTAGGATGTTAGGAGATGTATCAGGACCTCTGAGGCCCTCTGGGTCTCTAATCATCTATGCCTCGGTCAGTATTCTGAGCCTCACTTTGGCAAACCCCGAGGTTATTCCTGGGATTTAAAAGACACTCTTGGCCTTGGCCTGTGGAGGCATAGATAGCACAGGCGGTAAGGGTCAGATCCTGAAGTCAGACCTCCTGGGCTTTAATGACATACTAGCTGTGTGACTTTGGGAACATTATCTGATCTCTCTGTGCTGCTGTTTTCTCATCTGTGTAAAGAGGATGAAAATATTACATATGAAATTGCTGATATTTGACCATTTTGACTTACAAAAATGGCCATTTTATAAGCCTCAACCTAACACCTATCACCAGGGCTGTTGTGAAGATTGAATGAGTGGCTTACCCATAGTAAGCACTGGTTGAACATTTGTCTTTTTCTCATAAAAATAAACAGAAGAAAAAGCAAGCTAGAAAGATGTTGACATTTTGTGGAGCTAAGGAGGGTGTTCCAGAGTTTCCGTCCAGAACCATGCAAAGTCTGATTAGATCAGCTACGGCTCAAAAGCACAGAGACTCGACTCTAAGACCAAACAGCTGTCTCCCTCATGTGATAATCTGCCTCCTCCTAAAAAATACTTAAGATGACTTGCTATAGACTCTGTCTCAACAAAAAAAATCTGTAAAAATACGGGACAGTTAAAAGTAGAGATAAAAAGGGATTGCAGAAATCAGAGAAGACAGAGAGAGGAAGGCAGGAACGTGGAACGGAAAGCTCAGAATTCTGAGAGTTGGCAATGGTTTCCTTCTAGGGTGGTTCTTCATGTCTGGTGCCATGGCGATTGGTGTCACTGTGAACAGTCAGAAAGAACACCACCCTGGGTGTGAGTGCTTGTGTGTGGTAGAGACAGGGACTCTGTAATTCATCACCTAGTGCCCAGGCAGAACTGATCACCTAAGCCAGAAAGAACAAGGTTAGAGGTTCCCAGCTAAGTCCTCCAATGCCACATGTCCTCTGAAGTCATTTTAGGTGCCTTGGAGCTCCTTCAACATCTCACAGGGCATAAGGAAACCACATACTTTTATATCTTTACTTTGGGCTGGTCTTATTATGAACTCAGTTATCATGCCACAAAGACCATAAGCTCTGATTGACAGTTACTTATTAAAAAGTTGAAAGTCTTTCAAGCAAGGAGACCATGCAGCTAATATAACATGCTATGGGTGAAAGATGGAAGCCTTTGGCCTAATTCAATCGTAAGAGTTCAAGTTGGCATTCTCGCTCCCTGCCCTTCAACAGAAACTGGAAGGGAGGAGAAGCCTCCCAGCCAAATGTGGCCTTCTGAACCAGAGGAAGTTGTATCTCGGGGAGGAGGAGACTGCGTCTTTAGAAGAGGCTACATGGCAAGAGTTCTACAAGCAAGGAAGGAAGGCGCTGGGGTAAAATGCCTGCCAAGCCGGGGCCACCCAACAGGCTGGAGCATGCCATCCCAGGCACAGGGACTCAGGAGCACAAGAGCTCTCAATAGTTGACTTTCTTAGGACCAGGTCTGGGCTTGCAAATATCTTTGTTTCCAGCCTATTGGGGTTTCTTTGTTTATTTTTAGATAGTTGATCCCTGGTTTCAGAGAAAGCTGCCTTTGAACAATTCTGGGGGCTGGAAGTGGTGGTAGTGGTTTGATACCGGGGCAAGATCCTCAAGGGGGATTCGAGCTTAGGGAGCAGTGTGAAGGCCCCTCCTACCCAGAGGCAGTGGTGCTCAGGCTCTGGGCTAGCCTGTTCAGGTCTGAATCCTGACTTTATCACTAGCTGTGACCTTGATCACATACAACCTCTAACAAGTTATCTAACACATTTGTGCCACAGTATCGCAGTCTCTAAAACAAGGATAACAACTCCTTCTTCAAACAAGGCTGTTGGGAGGATTCGATGGTTGAATCACATGACATTGGCGCTTTGGTTGTTCTAAGATGCTCAAATATCAGCAGTTTCAGGCACTTAGCGCTAATATCCACTAAGCCCTTAGAACAGAGCCTAGCACTTTATAAACAGTTAGTAATAACGGCCAACAGGTGCTCCTTCCTGTGTCAGGTAGCGTGTTGCCCATTCTGCATGTAAAGCTCATGTAATCCTCCAACTATCCTGTGAGGCAGGAGCTACTGTTATTCTCATTTTGTAGATGAGGCACGGAGAGTTGAAGCAACTTGTAGCAGGTCCCAAAGCTGATTGGCTGGAATCTGAACCCAGGCAGTCTGAGACCAGAGCCCACTTTCTTATGTCCTGTAGTCTCCTGGCAGCTACTAACCATCATTATGGCTATTCCTGGGGCATCTTACTCTGAAATCCTGAGCTCCAACCTACAAAGCCTCCAGTTCTGCCTCAGCAAAGGGGTGTTCTTTTTCACCCCTCAGCTTGGCCCATTTGCAGGGGACCCTTGATGCACACAGAGCTGTCTCTTACCTCCTCCATTTTTCTGGCACAGGTAGGGGAACCTCCAGATGTTGCCGAGGCCCACGGAGAAGCCAATCTGGGCCAGGATGTACTGCAGCTTGCTGTTCCAAGCTGGCCGGTCCTCTGCGTCCAGCTCCTCCTCCGCTGCCTTTTGCTTGCTGCCTGCCTCGCCAGCCACATTCAGTACGCTCTGCTTATAGTCCACAGGCTCCTCGAGGGCCAGCAGGTCGGCCACAGACTCAGTGACATGCTCACTGCTGTGCTCACGCTGGGTCACTTTGCTGTTCTTCGGCATTGATGCCACCTGGGCCGTGTAGCCCTGCTCCCGAGCACACAGAGAAGATGGAATTCAGCTGCTGTCAGCTCCTTCTCATCCAGGGACCTAGGAAACCAGGTGAACAGGAAAGGGTTATCTACCCACACCAGGGAGGTGAGAAGCCCAGCATAGACGCAACCCAAATCAACTCTCCATCACCACTCGAGGCAGGTCAAGGGCCTCAGAGATTGAGCTTGCCCTCCATCCTCATCAGGGGCTGCCCAGTGAGGAGCTCAAGGCCTACAGACTCAGTTTCTCCACAGGATTTACCAGACGAGCATCATTTGGAAAGTAAACCTAAAGGGGCAAAATAGGCAAAGCCATACACCAAACCCAAGTACAGAGCCATCCGCGAAGACATTTCTCTCTTCCATGCTGCAGAGTCTGGAGTGCTCAAGACCCTTTGGAGCTCCACACAGCCTTCCCCTTCCAGGTGTTCTGCTTAGCCAAAACCGCCTGGAGGGACCCATGGAAGCCAGTGCCTGCCTTCCTTGGGGCCTTTTTATTCAAAACGCAGGGATTATGCCAGGAACTGGTTAGAAATGCAGCAACTCAGGCTCACACCAGACCTCCTAAAGCAATCTCTGCCTTTTTACAGGATCCCAGGTGATTCAAAGGGACATTAACATTTGCAAAAAAAAAAAAAAGGAAGAAGAAGAAGACTCTTGAGCCATCACCATGGAGCCCCTGGACACCAGCGCCTATGGCATCTCCAGTCCCCTGGCCGGAGTGGCTGTCCAGGCTCAGCTAAAGATTCTGGCACCAGAAGCCAAGAGCTGTTTGCTCAGTGCCAACAAATCTCGGGCCATTGCTCAGCACTGACATTATCTGAGGACTTCTGCAGCCAAGAGCTGGTTCTCCATCCTTCAGCAACAGTTTTACAGCAGATAATGTCTGCACAACACGGGCGGGGGAGGCAAAACCCTCCCCTGCTCCTGCCAGTCCTCATTTGTCTTTCATGTTTTCCCTTAAAGAAATAAAGCACCAAGAAAATGAATCCTTTGAAGAATTCCACCATTGCGTTATATTTCAAGGCACCCCCTCATTAAGGGAAGGTTGGAGGATTTAAAATTAAACACACACACCCTAGCCTGCGGTTGCCCTGCATCTTTCTAGGGATGTAACTTACCCAGCTCTGTAATTACTTTATTAAGGGAAAGAGGTGTCTCTGGAAGCCGGGCTCCTTGTTTGTTCTCCTCGTAGGTATATGCCACCTGAATGGCACAGGCAAGGTAGTTCAAGTCTGTGCAGCACAAGGGCCAGGCCCACCCTTCCTGCCAGCCTTGACCCAGGCCTCCTGGCTGACCGCAGCAAAGGCCTGACCTTCAAGGAGACCTGGCCAGCCAGACCCTGTTATACATGTAATGAAGCTGGGAGGTTTATGGGCTTGGCTAGCCCTCCCCAGGCCAGGTCTTGGACCACATTAGCAGGTGACACCAGCTGCCCTCCCTTTCCAAGGGGACAGTGAGTCTTTAGTGACTGTCCCCTCACACCTCAAGAACAGTCAGGGTTAGGCTTTGGAGTAACTGTGACAGGGCCAGCCTGGTTAGAAGACCATGGAATTCCCTATAAGAAGCTCTGTGGTTGGGTGCAGTGGCTCACGCCTGTAATCCCAGCAGTTTAGGAGGCCGAGGTGGGTGGATCATCTGAGGTCAGGAGTTCGAGACCAGCCTGGCCAACATGGTGAAACCCATTAAAAATACAAAAAAACAGCTGGGCATGGTGGCGGGTGCCTGGAGGTTGCAGTAGGCTGAGATCGTGCCACTGCACTCCAGCCTGGGTGACAGAGTGAGACTCTGCCTCAAAAAAAAAAAAAAAGCAGCTCTCTGTTGGGACTCACTTCCCAGTGGGGCAGTTGGACATCCCATTGTGTCCTGGAGGGTGCCCCATGGGTGACACTTGCATCTGTGGAACTTGCAGCCCTCAGCCTCCCCCATGGCTGCTGTGTCGCATGTGCTACACAAGCAAAGTGCGGCCCTAGGAGTTACACAATGGAGAGGCCCGTGTCCTTGCCTGGGCTGCCAGGATGAGCTCCTCTCCTCACTCAGCAGGTCCCCGTCTCCAGGGCATACAAACAGAGAAATGGCTGCTTGTGAAAGCAGCCCCCCCCTCCCCCATCCCCTGCTGCTTACATCCAGAGCTGTTACTAAAGATGAGAGCTAGGAAGAAGGGTGAGGGTCCATCTGGAGCCTGCCATCACTAGGGTTCCTTGGCTCAGAGCCTGTTTCCGGCCATGCTGCCTGCAGCAGGGTTTGATCAGAGCAATCTGCAGTGCATTAGGTATGGTTTACTGATCATCACGCCACAACTAGAGAAAATCAAGGGGGTTTCCTGCAAGTCTGCAGAATTTATCTTGCTGCTGACCAATTGGAGCACATGTTTCTCCATAAATAGCCTAGTGAGTGGCAGCTTCGGTCACCAAGATGAGAAAGGGCTAGGAGGAAAAAAGCATCACTTTAAATGAGGAGGACTCAAGGACATTCTGGTAAAGCAGAAGGATACCTATAGCAACATCCAGCAACCACAGGGCATCAGCTAATATGAGCTTCCTCCTTCTTCCCAAGATGTCACTGATGCCATGGGCATCCTGAGGGATGGGGGCCCAAGGACCCCTGTGCCATTAGGTCTGCAGGATGCAAAGGGCTTGAACATACCTGCAGGCTGAGGCACTGGCTGGGCTGCAGTCATGACTGGAACCCTTTGTGCCCAGTGAATATGCTCAGGTGACAGCAGGGTCAGACTCAGAAATTAAAGCTTGAAGGACCCTAGCAATTGTCCGACTCAACGCTCCCATTATCTCTCTGGAAACTGAGGCCCAGATTGAGGAACTGAATTGCCCAAAGCTACTAAGGTTCTCCTGACACCCTGACCAGAGCCTTGCCTGGGGCAGTCAGACTCAGCAGAGGCGGGGGACACAGGGAGACCACTGGGTGTGGGAGTGTGAGGCATGGGCTGTGAAGCCAGACAGGCCTGGAGTTGAGGGTTCTCACTTCATTCATTCAACACTCACTCACTCACTCACCTGATATACATTTCCTGAGTGCCTCCTATATGCCAGCCTCTGTTCTAGGTGTGAGGAATAGAGCAAGGAGAAAAACTGGCAAAGTGTCTCCTCTCATGGACTTTGCATTTCATTGTGGAAGGGCTGGATACTAAAGAAATCGATGTATAATACCATGGCCAGGGGTGACACATGCTGTAAAGAGACTCACGCCGGAGGGGTGGAGCAAGCTGGCAGGTGGCTCTTTTATGCTGGATGCGGGGGTTGCGGGGGGGCAGTCAGGAAGGGCATCTCTGAGGAGGTGACATTTGCACAGAGGTGTGAATGACAGAATGAGAGGCAGAGACAGGGAGAGGGGTGCCGGGGAGGGAGGAATGCAGCCGTGCTGTGCCATGAGGACTGGTCCTAGCACTCTGAGTGAAGTGGGCAGCACTGAAGCCTTGGCCACACACTAGCTGTGTGCCCTTAGACAAGGTACTATCCTTAATTTTGTGAGCGTCCATCTCCTCACAGGTGAAAAGGTTGCATTTAATGACAGTTCCCATCTCCCAGGGAGGGCTGCTGTGAGGGTCCAGTGAGCGGCCGCACATAGAGTGCCTGGCACAGAGCTTGGCACACAGAAAGGACCCAAATGGTAGCAGCCACTGCCTGGAAGCCTTGCTTTGTTTACTTTTATACATTTAAAAAAATATGTAAGTCCCTATATTGATATTTGGCCCCATAAATCCCATTTCTCCCCAAGAAAGGCCAAAGGGAGCTGACCGTGGGAGTGGAGGTGGGTGGAGAGAAGCAACCTGCACCATCTCAGCAATGCCCACTTTCTTCTCCAGAACCGGCGTCCACCTAGAACAGCCCCTAGAAAGTTCTACCATATGCCACACTCCAGTGTCAAAGGAAGCCAGGCAAAGGTCCCACGGCTCCCAGCTTGGATCCAAAAGACCAGCAATATTATTATTAATAAAAACAAGGCCTTGTATTAAAAGTTTAGCATTATTGTTATTAATTAAAATGTACCTCATGTTTGGAATAGCTTGAGCCCATTTAAAACCATTTTTTTACAGACCCTACTGGTGCGATATGGGGAGGCGATCCTGCTCAGGAGTAAGCCAACCTGGGTTCCAACCCCAGCTCACTGTGTGCCAGCCACCTGGCCTGGGCAACTTTTCTAGCCATGTGCTGGTGAAAGGTCAGCTTTCAGAGCAGAGCCTGGGAATCCAAATGTATCCAGCCAGTGACCCCACAGCTTTGTCTGGGAGAAGCACCAGGATCAGAGAAGGACCCTGAGGGGGCTGATTCTCCTCTTCCCATACCCAAACATCTCATAGAACCAGTCACGATCCAGGCATCAGCAGGCCAGCTAGGTACTGGTCCTGACCAACCTACTGTGCAAACTGGTACCATTGCCCTCACTTCCCTGGATCTCAGTCTTCCTCTGTGTAAAATGGGTTGGCATGGATGGCCTCCAAGACCCCTTTCAGCTCTAGCATATACCCATCGAGGGCCCCTCCCGCATGTGAGTGTGAGCAAGGAGCCACCTGCCCCAGGCACCTGTTAATAATGAATGCGAAAGGTAATTTCTGTCTGCCCTGCCTCCCTCCATCAGCTGAGAGCCAACTGGGGGCACATTGGGGATGTGGTGACAGCCAGCCCAGCCATATGTAATTATCCCCCCGTAGTAGCTGGGGTGGGTTGTGAAGTGGGTTTCACGAGCAACAGGTCGGATGATGAAGCTGCATGGACTCTCTGAAAGGAGTGACTCCATCTCTGAAAGCACAGCGCAGAGGGGCACGACTGCCGAGCAAGCCCTCGGTGCCAGCTTGTCACTTAGCAACAGAGGTGGCTTGCAGCTCAGAATAGCTCCTGTGAGAGAAGCAGGTCTGAGCAAGTGAACTGCGAATCTTCTTAAAAGGAGAAAAAATAGTGTGACTGGGAGGTAGACAGGTAAAAATATCTCCTGCCACAGGGGTGGTGGCTCCAAAAAAAATTTTCAAGCACAGCATCCGGCAATTAGCTTAAGGTGGTGGGGGATGGCTGCTCTCACCCTGGCAGCAGGACAAAGCCTGGA